TTTAAAAATTCCTAACTGGTAGTTTAAATTCTTTGCTATTATTATAAGTAATGTATCAGTTGACATTGCATTCGGATCCTCACAAACTTGTGAGATTATGTCCATAGAACAAATACATAGATGTGTAATTGCTAGGTCAAAGGGAATGCCTCTTTACAATTTAATACACATGGATAATCTGCCTTTCCAGATGGTTGCATCAAGCAGTGTATACCCTCGCCAACAGCATATGTTTCTGTACACTTTCAGAACATAGATGTCCCCATTGTTTCTAAGAGGTGAAAAGTAGGAGCTCACAGATTTAATATGAATTTCTTTTCATTAGTGAAAGATCTTACACTCACTGAAAATTCATATTTCTTTTTCTGTAAATCATCAATTAGCATCACTTTTTTGCTATTTCCCTTTTCCTTATTGATGTGTAGGGGTTCTTTATATATTGTGATTGCTAAATCTTTACCTAACACACAGAATGTATTTTTCCAGTTTGTTGACTATCTATTAACTGTGTTAATGATGTTTTTCAATGTGGAAACATATACAATTATTGTGTAATCAAATCTGTCAATGTTTTAAAGGTTTCCAGCCTTGATGCAATTAAAAAAATTTTTTTGTGGTTGTTGAAGAATAATTGCTTTACACAATTTTGCTGTTTTCTGTCAAACCTCAACATGAATCAGCCATAGGTATACATATGTCCCCTCCCTCTTGAATCTCCCTCCCATCTCCCGCCCCATCCCACCCTTCTAGGTTGATACAGAGCCCCTGTTTGAGTTTCCTGAGACATACAACAAATTCCCATCTACTATCTATTTTACACATAGTAACGTAAATTTCCATGTTACTCTCTCCATATATCTCACCCTCTCCTCCCCTCAACCTTGTTTCCTATATTTTATAAGAGCATTTAAATACAAATCCTTCTGGAATTAACTTTGATCAATTAATGACTTTATCAATTTTTGTGCCAATACAATATCATTTAACTAGTATAAGTTCATAGTATATTTGATAGCAAAGCAAACCCAGTCATTATTCCTCTCTTTTTCTAAATTTATGAATTATTTTTATGTATTCACTCTTCAAGATGAACTTAAGAATCAATTTGTAAACTTCAAAAAGAACCCACTGAGATTTTAAGTGACATTTCGTAAACTAATATGTTAATCTGGGATAAAAGGCTTATTTACAAGAATGAATATTTCCAGCAAGAATATGGTATATTTCTCATTTTTTAAGTTATTTTAAGTTAAGTTATTTTTTTAAGTTATTTTCTTAGTTCATCCAATAGCATTTGATAATGTTTTTATGCAGTTCTCCCACATTTCGAGCTTTTGCTAATTTCCAGCAACTAGTTGCATTTGCAAATAGAATTTTTGCTTATTCTAAATGTGTAAGAAAACTGTTGATTTTTGCCTTATACAGCCAGTTTATTAAACTATCACTTAGTATATTCTCTTTTGATTAACTTAGATTTTCTAGATTTACAATAATACTGAAATTAATAATGAAATTTTTGGCTCTTATTAATACTTGTGATGTTTATTTCCTATTTACTATTCTCGCAGTATTTCTTTAGCTAAACCTCAACAATGACAACAGTATGGGAGGGACTTGATGTAGCCAATGCAGCTCTCTTATTGTTCTTTCTGATGATTAGTATTTATTTGTGATATTGTTTGTGTTAAGAAATTTTCTTCTATCTTTATTATACTAAAGCTTTCTAACTAACTGCTTTCAGTTCTGGATATTTAACTTTGTAACATGAAGTTTTAGACCCTGACAAGATGGTCATATCTGTTTTTCTCTTCTAGCCTATTGAGACAATAAGATATATCACATTAAGAAATTAATAAATCTTCTAATGGTGAAATAAGCTTCCATAATTATTCTTAGAATAAGGCCTCATTGAATATGCCTTATTTTTCCTTTAATATATTGATGCATTTGATTTGTTAATATTTTTCTCAGGAATTTTTGCATCTCTAGTCAAGTGAAATTAGTCTCTTTTTTCCCTTCAAGATACTTTGTCAAGTTTCATTATGAGTCAGAAAAATGAGGTTGAAGATATTCCATATTTGTTACGCTCTGGAGAATTGTGTGTGATCTGAGTATTATCTTTTTTGCTACACTCACTAAGGAATTGCCCACAAAACTATCCAGACCTTGTGCCTTTTTGGTAAGCCTCAAGGAGAAGGGCGATTTATTGTCTTATTTTTTTGCATATTGTTGAGTCAGTTGTGGATATTTTCAGATTTCCAGAGCGAGGAAAACCATTCCATCTAGATTTTCAGATTTATTGAAATCATGCTGCATATAATATTTCCTGAACATTTTTAATATGCAATTTTAAAACACTTGTGGTTATGCATTGTGGTAGGCTGAATAAAATCCCCTCACAAGGGATCCATGTCCTAAACCCCAGAAACCATATGTGTCAACCTATAAGGCAAAAAGGACTTATAGATGCGATTAAGTTAAGGATGTTGAAATGGGAAGCATATCATGGATTAACCAAGTGACTCCTACATGTAATCACAGAAGTCCTTGTGAAAAGGGGAGACACAGGAAAGCCACGGAAGGAAGTGGGGGATGTGATGACAGAAGCAAATGTGAGGGTGATGGAAGGAAGAGGTCAGGAGACAAGGAATGCCAGGAGCCTCCAGAATCCAGAGGAGGCGAGGAAACAGTCGTCCATGTAGGCGCCAAAAGCAGCCAGCCCTGCCCACACCGTGACCCTGGCTCAGTGAAACTGACTCATAACTTCAAGAGAATAGATTGGGGCGTGGTTCTGTTTTGTTTTGGCCACCAGCCTGGCATGTGGGTTCCTAGTTCCCCAACCAAGGATCAAATCCACATCCCCTGCGTTGGAATCCAGAAGTCTCAACCACTGGACCACAGGGAAGTTCCTAGATTTGTGTTGCCACCAAGGTTACACTACTCACAGAAAACTAAAATGTGAAGTCTTCTTGTCAGGTTCAACCTTTTTCCTTGGGGTTGGGGCTATTTTTTAATTTATTTTTAATTGGAGGGTAATTGCTTGACAATGTTGTGTTGGTTTCTGCCATGTAACAGTGAGTCAGCTCTAAGTATACATATATCCTCTCCCTCTTGAACCTCACTCCTACCCAACCCCATCAGAGGGTGGGAATATTTTTAAAGAACTCATTCTTTTTTTCTCTCTCTCTCTAATTCATTCATTTCTGCTTTTATCTTTGCCGATTCTTACCTTCCTTGGTTTTCTTTATTTTTATGTATTTTGCTTCTTGAATTCAATTATAAAATCACCTGCTTAATTGAGCACATGAAATGTGCTTTAAAAAGAGACTTGGCCACATCCTATAACTTTTGCAGGGTTTCAGACTTGCAATAATTTAAAATAACCTGTCCTTTCTGCTTTGATATCCTTTCAGCCCATCACTTTTTTCTAAAGTTGTTTTAGGTTTTGGAGTATTTTTTTTTTATCTCAAATTTTTAAAGGGTTTGGCAACTATTATTCTATTTGTAAACTCGAATTGTGACACATCAGAGAATGTGGCTATCAAACTTTCTGCTTCGGGGAAGTTATTACTCTAAAATTTCAGGTTGTGTAGATCTCTTACTGACCTTTTGAGAGAATGGGCATCTTGGTTTTGTGGGGAACATGACTCCATGTATAACCAGGAGATCACACTTCATGAGTGACATGGTCTGTATCCTCTATGTTCTTATTTATATCCACGGCAAGCTCTGTCTTTATCCCATAGGTGTGAGGGTTTTAGGTGGGAGAGTGACAAGATAAAGGAATACTCGGAGGGTAAGAAGACAGAAAGTGGATTAAGTGACAAGTACGGGTGCAGTGTGGACACACCACTGCCCCCTACCCCACCCGCCTGCCACACACACAGACAAAAGTGAGGAATGCCCGAACCATTCCATGCAGTGGCGACAGAAAGCCCAACCCTCTAAAACTATATACAGATGAGAAACCCAAGACCAGCCGCAGGATGGAAATAGCATACCCAAGTTCACACAGACTGTTGGCAACAAAGGAGAGGACTCAATCCAAGCCTCCGTGGGCCCCCTGCACCATGCCATGGCTTTGGAGGCCCCAGGAACGACGACGCAATTCTGTGTGTTTCCCCTGTCCATTCTGCAGAGACGCCTAACTCGCTTCGTTCTCTGCTTTGTCATTAGGTCAGTCACTCAGTTGTGTCCTACTCTTTGCGACATTTTGTCATTAACAACCACACTATTCGAGAAAGTGACCATGCCTTCATCCCAAAGAATCTACTGGGCTCCACCTGGATGAGCCCAACACACACACACACACACACACACACACACACACACACACACACAAAGCAATGAGCCCAACAGGCACCCACACAAGGTCAGTGTTACCTTCGGACATCACGAGCCCTGCTGAAGCAAATGTGCATCACACCCATGTCAAGGTTAAACGCATTTAGTACACATAAGGAAACAACTGGTTTCTAGCATTTGGGACATTAATATATGTTACATTACTTTTTTCAATAAGATGGGAAAAAAAAAAAACTTGTCTTCCTCTTACTACACTGTGCCGGGCACTCTTTCTGCCCAGTTTCATTTTCCTTGCATCTCCCTGTTGCGCTGACCATTATAGGGATTTTTTTCAAATGGGAGAGACATCCTGAATTTTTTGTAAGTTTGGAGGTACTTCAGAAATATCACCACACTCCTTACTGTGTTGGAAGCTTCCCCCACCTCGGGAAGATGTGGCAACATTAAGATTTCCACCGGCTCTCCCTCGCCACCCACAGCCTCTGGACTGCACTTCTAACGGGTACTGCCCAGGAGCCTCAAGGAGAGAGTTTACCTTGTTGACATATCTTATTTCCACTCTTGCTGGCATGGAGAAGGCTACTTTGTGGCTGGTGCTCCAGAAAGTGGTAAACAGTTTTAAAGTGGTTGAGAGCCACCTCTTGGATCCACCACTCCCAGCTTGCAGCGAGTATCCAGCCGGGCTGACCCCGCAGATGCCACTGGTGGACCGGCATCCGCCGGTTCAACTCCTACAGGAGGAAGTGAAGACGTCTGGACCTCTTGGCAGTGTCCAGGAGAGTGAGGACAGGTGGGAAAGCATCACTCCCTAAGATGGACAGGACCCCGGTGACCGGATGTGGGGAGGCCGAGCAGCGGTCTAGAACACGTCAGTCGCAGAAATGGATGCCCTGCCCTCATTTCTCCTCTTTTATTCCCATGTTGTGCCTCTCCCAAGGTTCCCTGGAGGAGAAATGACCCCACTGAGAACAGGGCAGCAATAGCAGAAAACAGACCCCAGGTGACTATTTCAAGGGAACTGGAAAAGGTGACATTTTCCATTATGACCCAGTGTGTCAGCTAATAGTCCCCTTTTCTTAACCACAGGCTCTCCCCCGCCACCCGCAGCCTCTGGACTGCACTTCTAATAGGTACAGCGGAGGAGCCTCAAGGAGGGGGTTTGTCTCTCCGACACATCTTATTTCCACTCTTGTTGGCATGGGGAAGGCTACTTTGTTTATGTCTGATTCCCGCTGGGCCCCAGCGGAGTCCTGCCTGATGAACTGAAATGGCCAGAAGATTGCTCCCAGCTTGGTCAGCCACCCAGCCACAGTGCTCCTTACGCCAACCCTCCCCACCTCTGCAAGCACACCCTCGCTCCCGCAGGGTGCTTCTGGTCCCCAAGCGTCTTGGAGAGGTCCCAGTGGAAGGTGCTTTGTGCAAAGAGCAGTCCCTAAACCCTTGGACCTGGATAAGAGAAGAAAGGAATCATTGTGTGTAACGCTTTCTCCTACAGAAGCTGGTTTCTAGCACATAGAGCTGGTGAAAGTGAAAGTCGCTCAGACGTGTCCGACTCTTTGTGACCCCGTGGCCTATACAGTCCAGGGAATTCTCCAGGCCAGACTACTGGAGCGGGTAGCCTTTGCATTACACACAATGATTGTCCAGCGGATCTTCCCCACCCAGGGATCGAACTCAGGTCTCCCACATTGCAGGTGGATTCTTTACCAGGGCAGGGCAGGGGGTGGCGGGGGGGAGATGGGGGGTGGGGGAGGCAGCTGGTAATATCATGGAAAGCATATGTGTTGGAATCAAGAAGCGTTTGGGTTTTATTCACTCATGCAAGACTCTTATCCAGTGACCACCATGTACTAGGTACTCTTCCAGGCGCTGACAATCTGCCAGGGACTAGCACCAAATGAGGCAAAGTCCTGGTCACGCGGGAGTCACGCTCTCCTGGGACCCAACAGTAAACCAGCAACACTGGGCCAATGACATCACCGCTTGTCTCAGCGCTTCTTAATCTATCAAACAGGACTAACAATGACAGCTGCCTGATGGTTCCGTGGTGCCCTTTGGTAACGTGCTACACAGATATTTGTTATCATCACTGATATTTTCACACCCTAGAGCCAAGGAGTGGTACTCTTAAGAGAAGAAGAGAGAGGGACTTCCCTGATGGTCCATTGGTCTAAGACTCCACACTCCCAATGCAGGCAGCCCAGGTACGATCCCTGGTCAGGGAACTAGATCCCACATGCCGCAACTAAGAGTTTGCATGCTGCAATGAAGATCGAAAATCCCAAGTGCCACAACTAAGATCCAGTGCAGACAAATACATAAATTTTTAAAAATAGATATTTTTAAATGATAATTTTAAAAAAAGGAGAAGAGGAGAGCAACTGTAATATGATGGTCCTGACTCTCTGGCCAGGGAAGTTCAGCACAGCCTCTTACTGAAACCTTCCCAAGGTCACTTGGGGGCATCTTTCCCCTACTGTCTTTTGCTCTCCACTCCCCGTTATCATCATGTTTGATGCACTGTACAGGTATTGTTGTTTAATCACTTAGTTTTGTCTGACTCTGCAACACCATGGACTGTATTCTCCAGGCAAGAATACTGGAGTGGGTTGCCATTTTCTTCTCCAGGGGATCTTCCCAACCCAGGGACTGAGCCCTCATCTCCTGCATTGCAGGCAGATTCTTTACCACTGAGGCACCAGCGAAGCCTGTACAGGTGTGGACATTACGATAGTTTCCTATCTGAACAGTCTTGAGCACACACACCCTCTTCTCATCCGACTACTGTTTCCTGGTGCCTAGTATAGTGATGTCACTTCCTAGGTAGTTATGAACTATTAAATTTAGAGGAATAAATTATGAATAAGCAAGAATGAATGTATAAGGAGGCTATGAGTACTACTGCTGCTCTCTGCATTGCATACTTAACATCAGACCCAAAAAGAGGAAAATATGTAGCTTTTTTCAATAGATGACATTGTCCTGTAAGATGATTGCCATCGTCTCAGACCTGCCCATCTCCTCCTGCAAATACAGCCCAGAAGATGGACAGCCTTTCATCTCCTGATGTATGTCCACTGTCCATTGTAAAATGCTGCCACACCAGGGGAGGTGGATCATCTCTCACGACCTGTATGCCTGATGGATTTGATCAGACCATCTTCCAGGCTGACCTTCTAGAACCAAAAGTCAACAGAGCCCCAGGTTAAGTCACATGAATGGTGCCCTGCTGATCAGGATGGATGCTAGGTCTCTCCCCATTTTCTGAGTACTTGCCCCAGACCTTAGTTCCCCAAAAGTCCTAGGATACAAATTTCATCATCGACTCTCTAGGAAGGACTATGAAATCAGAACCACCTAGTTCTGAATTCAAGCCTGTCATCCACTAGCTGTCACCAAGCAAATCTTCCTCCCTGAGTCTCACTCAGCTTCTGTCTTTATACAGTGGAGCTGATGATATTTTGATGTTTATTAGGAACATCACAAATATTTGTTAAGATTATTAACTGTTCAATTCATAAATTAAACAACAATGTGTGCCATAATATGTCAGTTTTTAAAAAGCATATCCTCCTTTTTACCTAAAAAAAAAAAAGAAAGATATTTTAGGATTCTTAGAATGATACTGCCTATTAAAATTTCATCACTAAGTTTTTGCTTGTTTGTTCGTTTGTTCTGAAGTATAGTTGATTTACAATGTCATGTTAGTTTAGTGTACAGCAAAGTGATTCAGTTACATATATATATACATTCTTTAACAGATTCTTTTCCCTTATAGATTATTACAAGATAGTGAGTAGAATTCCCCGTGCTACACAGTACATCCTTGCTGGTAACCCATTTTATATATAGCAGTGTGAGTGACAGTTGCTCAGTCGTATCCGACTCTTGCAACCCCATGGACTAAAGCCTGCCAGGCCCCTCTGTCCATGGAATTCTCCAGGCAAGAAGAATGGAGTGGGTTGCCATTTCCTGCTCCAATAGACAGTCATGTGTGTATGTTAATCCCCAACTCCTAATTTATCCCTTCCCTGCCTTTCCCTTTGGTAACCACAACTTTGTCTACATTTGTGAGTCTATTTCTGTTTTATACATAAGTTCATTTGTATCACTTTTTAGATTACATATATAAGCAGTATCGTATATTTGTTAGGAATATTATGAATATTAAGGAGATAATTCATGTGAAGCACTGAACCTAATGCCTAGCAGATGCTCAGTAAATGGCAATACTGACATTAGCTGCGGGTTACTCTGGGCCAGGCCCAGTTCTCTGGACTCTGCATGAGTTCACTCAGCTAACCCTCCTGACATCTCTCTGGGTAGATCATTTACATGAGTAAAAAATATAAAATAATAAATACACAGATAGAGGCAGACCTCATTTTCTGTGCTTCATAGACGTTCTGGTTTTTACAAACTGCTGGTTTGTGGCAACCCTGTCAGAAGAAAATCTATCGATACCATTTTCCCAACTGCCTTTGCTCGCTTCATATCTCTGTGTCACATCTGGGTAATTCTCAAAATATTTCACTTTTTTGTTGTTATTACACGTGTCCTGATGGTCTGTGATCCGTGACCTTCGATGTTGCTACTAAGACTCGCTGAAGGCTCAGAGGATGGGGAGCACTTTTTAGCAATAAAATATTTTGAAATTAAAGTATGTGCATTGTTTTTTAAGACATAATGCTATTGAGACAAGAGACTACAGTATAAGGGAAATATAACTTTTATTGCACTGGGAAACTTAAAAAAAAATTTGTATGGCTCACTTTATTGTGACATTAGCATTATTACCCTGGCCTAGAATCAAACCCACAACATCTTTAGGGTGTGCTTGTAATAAATATAATACAAATATAATATCATCATATATGGATAGATAAAAAGAGAAAACTAAAGCATAAAGATGCTACATAACCTGCCCAGGCCACTCAGGTGGTAAGGCCTGGGTCAGGATTCAGTCTCCATCCCCCGGACACCACACAGCCCTCTCTGGCTCCTGCTGTTGCTCTTACTGACTCATTACCCCAGTTCCCTAAAAGTGCCTAATTCCACCTCCCACCCCGGTTGCCAAGGGCTGAACATCCACCTGCTTGCCTTCCCTGGATGGCAGGCAGGGCACATAAGAAGTGCTGGTGTGAAGCCTGGACCTGTGCTTGGCACAGGGCACCTTCAATGAAGAATCGACCTGCCCATACTGAGAAGCCGAGGACCAGAGCCCAGGCGCCAAAATGAAGGGAGCCATACAGATGGCCTCTGCCCGGAGGGAAGACTGGAGAAGGAAACTCGGGCACTCTGGGGCCTGCAAGGCCTCCAGGTCGAAAGAGGCCAGGAAAGCCAAACTTGGGAAGCCCAGACTTTGATTGACATTCACTTTTAAAGAGACCAGTGATCCAGAGGAGAATTGTTGCTTAGCTCAGATGGTAAAGAATCTGCCTGCCAAGCAGGAGACCTGGGTTCAATCCCTGGGTCAGGAAGATCCCCTGGCGAAGGGAATGGCAACCCATTCCAGTATTCTTGCCTGGAGAATCCCATGGACAGAGGAGCCTGGAGGGCTGCAGTCCGTGGGGTCACAAAGAGTCGGACATGACTGAGCAACTAACTCTTTCACTCAAGGTGACAATCTCAGCTTGACTGAGGAATAGAGAGGCAAAGAGAACCAGAGAGAGGGTGCCAACTTCTCTTTCCCTGCAGAGGGCTTCCTGTAAAGACCTGGCCAGCTCCTGGTCCGTTCTGCTCTGTAATTTCATCCTTCATCTGTCCCATCTCCTTGGAAGATGCCAGCTC